AAAAAAAAAACCTGACAACAATGGCACCAAAATCTCCAAATTCCAATTCGACCAGCTAAGGTCAAATCAGTTAAGGTTAATGTGGCTTCCTCTCTACTTTAAAGGTGAGTAAATGTCTGATACTGCCTATTTACAATTTCAAACCAATTAAGACAGTCTTTCAAAAGTAAGTTCTACATTTATGAGAAACACTTCGCGTCAACCCTTCCTTGTTTTGTTTCCATTTCAAAGCCGACCACAAGCAGCGATTTTATGACAAAAACGATCCCGTATAACCTAATCCTGCAAAATAACATAATGATAGCCACAAAACACCTACAGCAAGGTTCTTCAACATCGATTGGTGGTCCTTAGGAATCAGAAAGGAGCTGATGTCAACTGTGAGATGAAACAAGTGATAAGACAAGAAAAGATAAACAATGGTGGCAAAAGCGAAATTAAGCAAAGGGTATCCTGGTATGAAAGCAATCAGAAACTTAGCATTGCCTTGGAGATAAACATGCAACTGGGAGATGTACGTTTCTAGTGTGATTTTTCCCAGCCACGTGAACATGTAAAAGTAGTGCCGCCGAAACAACGGGAACATATTGCGTAGAAATATGAAGGATAACAAAGGAATGAAGGAAAAATAAGGGTGGAGTTTGTTATACTGGTATTTGTCCAATACAAAGATGTGTCGAACCCAAAAAGAGAGGGAGGTGAGGCACACTAAAGCGATTCCAAACCGTATTGCTGTTCGCTTTGCCGACGACTTCTCATCTAGATATCCCATGAGCCTCTCAAAATTAGGATGGTGGTAAGCACAGAGCATGCCCAGAAGAGTCGCATAATGATCAAGTCCTGCTCTAAACATCCACTCGTGGAGAGAATTCTCATAGTTCAAGATGAAGCCCAAGGGTTTAAAAACGATTTCTCCAACACCTGGCACGTCAAACAATAGAAAGACGATAAGAAAATATATCGTAAACTTTACAGCCATCTTTTGTGGGTCCTCGTTCCAACTGTTCAGCAGTCTCATGAAGCAGTAGGCTGATAAGAACCAGAAGGTGTGCATAGGACAGATGTAGTATAACATGTACTCATTGCGCACCACCAAGCACGTGATCACCACAAGGAAATTGAGGCGAAAAAGCATTTTAAGGACTCGGTAGAGACTGAAGTCTTTTTTAACCCAGAAAAAGGAGAAATTACCTGAAAAGATAAAGGAGCACAATACTTTTTACCGCCAGCAAAATATAGTAAAAAAATATAACTTGATTTAAGCTTAAAACAGTTTAGTTCGTGTTAAACATATAAGAAAACACAGTGAAAACTGACATATATACTCCAGACTAAGTAAAGCAATATCAGTACTGCGAACCCTAGAGGGCTATCCTTTCTTTCAGCCTCGAAAATTGCAATTCTTGAACGCGAATTTTTATCGCGATTATTTTTAAACTGATTTCACTTTCCTTTCAACAAAATATTAAGGTCCCTTGAATACATTGGATGTTGACAATTCTGGGGCAAGCTTCCTTGTGTCACCTTCAGCCCGTCCTGACTAATTTAATAACAAGAATCTAGTGTTCGCATCGGGTCTTGTAATCGCCACACACACGCGCAAAGTTCTTCGACACATTGCGTACCGTGCAATGTCAGTGGAACTGTAGATGTAGACAATCGAATGAATTGATCACAAAAAGGACTTCGTTTCAAGAGACTACAAACGTTCAGCTGTTTTGTACCAGTGGACAAATTAAAACAATACTGACGTGCCAACCGTAATGGTTATCACTGATTAACAATGTTCCTCTCCCTACCCAGCAGTCAAAATTAAAATAAAGGGAGTTACTTACCGAAGCCAGTCATCCAAACGTAAGCTGCAATGAACACCCTTACAGCGTTGTAAGTCTCCGCAGCTTTGAAATAGTGATACCAAACGAACATGACTTGCATCCAGCCTTTCCACTCCTCTGTCTGCTCTCGGTTTAATATCTTGTCTGGAGTCTCCTTCCTAGTCAATCCAGCGGCTACAGCCACAAGAAGCAGGACCAGAAACCAAAACAGATCACGTGAATAAGTGCGCTCAGTGGCGAGAAAATAGTGATTGTCATCGCAAAGATAGTACACGAACATAATGACTCCAAATATAGCCACACTTTGCAGGAAATGATCGAGAGATGGTCTGACGGCAGTGGATGTTTGAGATGTCGGCTTGCCTGGTACACTGTTATCTTGACCAATGTTACGTTCTTTTTCACGCTCGTTGACGAGTACAACCTTTTGATGTGGTATCTCACCGTTTTCTACTATTCCAAGGCGAGCTTCTTCATTATCTTTGGAAGAAAGTAGAACGGAAACCCTAATTAAATTTGTTTAGTACTAGAAAAGGGAGCAACCAAGACGGCATTTGTCGCGAGGTTTCAACTCCCATAGGAACGACAATCAGCTAGGAAACCTTTTAAATCTTTCCTCTCCCCCTCGCTGTCCCGTCCCCAATCAGCACTTGTACGAATTCAAATGCTAAACAATCGAACAAACTAAGTAACCAACATTTAAAGAACGAAAAGCTAAGAAAACGAACATACCTTGATTACCTGACGCGCTATGCCGAAATGCGCTCCGCAAAGATGGAACTTTCAGTAACAACAGAAGTTTTCTAAAAGCCATCAGCGACACTACCGATACCCAAAACACAAAGAGCGCTTTCTGGTGAATGGATAGTGGGCCTTTGGATGGGAGCCATTTTTGCCCTTCCATAGGAGCTCCCTCGCTGTTCATTGTTGATCTGAGAGAACAGGAAGCATCAAAAACTGAACATGGATAATAAGCAAGTAGTAGTAATATGTTAATCAATCAATCAATCAATCAATCAATCAATCAATCAATCAATCAATCAATCAATCAGTCGCTTTATTAACGTAGTCAGTACGCTTAGCTGCAATCTACAATCGGCGACATAATTAGTTGACACGTTGTCTTTCAATAGTACTTTTAGTGCAGCAAATAACACGACTCTTTTTACCGCACAGTAAACTGTGGAAAAGACCCCGCTCCCCCATTCGATGTTGCTTGTTTAATTTGTAGCTCAAGTTCACAGCAGTTGCTACACAACATTGTTTGGGGGTCAGGGGGGCTGAAAGGATAAGCTAGGAGGGCAAAAAGGGATCACAGTGACGAAATAGGGGGTTAATAGTGTGAACGTGTCAACAATTTTGTCGCCGATTGTAGTTTCCAGGAACGCCACGGAATAATAAAGTTAAAAATACAAAATAAAAAACTGCCTTGGAAGTGTATAAAGTTAAGATAAACTACAATTAAAAATGAATTACAAATTAAGATAGTTTAGTTACAATACATGTCTAACTAAGTGTAAAATATAAAATTGTCATAAAAATTGTCACACACCTCACTCACTCATAGTCCCGTGAGATTTATTGACGTGATGTGTTTTTGGTCGAGAATAAGCTCGTATAACAATATGTAATTATGATCTTCTTAAGTGTACGGTTAAATGTCCACAGGAAAGGCCCACAAAATTAACAGGGTTGTCATTAATTTTTCAGTCACCCGTAGCCTTATTCTCCACACCCATGGCAAATTTGTTACTTTGTGGGTGAGTTCTCTAAACAACAGGGAATTTCACCCGTAGCATCAAGGGAAAATCAAGCATACTCAGCCGTAACAGATGTTACGGCTTACGGCCCTTAATGACAGCCTTGAAATATACTTAAGGAATAACAGGAAAGTAGAGAAACCAAACATTTACCTAAACTATAAACTAAGGTCGAATTCTAGAGAAGTTTTGAGCAGTTCATAGACGCACCTCCAACAATAAGCGACAAAAGTGCTGAGACACTTCGCAGTAAAATTGTATTTTCGAGCGTCTTGGAAACATTTATTCCAACCTCCTCCCCTCCAAATAACGTTGATTTTTCTATTTCTAAGACTGCGTAGACCACAGCTCCTACACAACATTGAATTGGGGGGCCGGGGTATCAGAGAATTAACGCTAGATACATATAAAGTTGAATAAGAGGTTAATTATCGAAAGTCGAAATTTTCTAGATTGCAGTTTGGTTAGTTTCGAATGCGAGAAATTTACTTGCTCTTCTTCCCATACTCACCGTTGAGGCAATTTTATTGGATAACTAGCTAGAGTGTGAAATTAAGAATACACGAAAAAAACCGTTCATATAAACAGGCCAGGTTATACTGATATTCTTTCAAACTTTGTTTATTCCGTTGAGAATTCGAAGCTCCAAATTCTAAATTCGGCAGATCTTTATTATTGATGTGGTCATGCGTTGATTGCTAAAGACACAGTGCGAATACTACTGAAACAAAGAGTTATCACTTCAATTAGTTTGGCAAATTTGCATATGCACCGCTTCATAATAAATGACGCGGCAAAAATTTATTTTGCAGTTTTCCTGACTGTCACTGTTGCCTAAATTTCAGTACAACCTGCGCATTCATCCAGTACTTGTATCAGTTATATGCCGAGACTACTCGAAGTTTGCTGGTTTTTACGACAGCACTGGGCAAACAAGATTTAAGACAATCAGGCCAAGTTCGTGACATGTAAATTAATCTCCAATTTTACAACCTTTCGCCGGTTGAGAAACTTAATTTACCGTCTGCAAGATTTGAAACTCTACCATAATTTAAATCAGTTTTCGCTTGTGAAACATTAAAATTGCGAACACTGAAAACTAAGCAGTGTCTACATTTTTTGGTTTGTGAAGGCTGAAGATTGAAGAGTTAAAAACGTCCGGGCCGATATCCGCAATAATTTTCTAGCGACTTTGTGAGTACTTCTTGTTTACTTCACAGTATATGGCTTGAAAATATAGGTCTTCTGCAGCACAATATTATCAGAGTTGTAAACACTAACCTGAACAGCCCTAAAATTCTCACCGAGCAGATTCACAGTGGATATCTATAGATAAACTTGGAATCTGATGAGTTATGCGGCTGTCTCGGCCTCTTTCGATTGATAGAAAGGTTCAGTATCTATCAAGTGATAGTTGGACAGTCACGGTTCGTCGTTCCAGCAGGCCCGAAGTGGGGAACTGTACTTCTAAGATGTTAATTTTGACAACTCATGAACAGTTGTTCTCAGTTATAAACAGAGAATTCCGATAAAATAACTAATTCTACCTGTGATCAGGAGTATGATTCGTGACCTTATTACATGTCTCTGTCTCACAAGGACTGGGATCTACTAAATTCACGAATTTGATTGGCTAAATTCAATATTGAAGGCGGCCTACATTTTCCCATCCAGACCGGCATCTTAGACCGGTAATGTTTTGCAGTGAAACTAAAATGCGAAATCATTGACTATTTTCTTGTAACAAGATTTATTTATGGAAGTGCTAAACCCCTGACGAAAAAAAAAAAAAAAAGTAAAGAGCAAACTTTGGTAGAATTAAATTCAGCTCACCACCGTTCGCAAGCAAAATGTCAGTTAGTACAAACCAGATACATATCATTAAGCGAATTAAATTGTCCGTGCTTATTAACCGAGCTTAGTCGGTCTGTATGGGAGAATCTTAACCTCGGTCGTGTGTACTCACGACCCTCCAATACAGACCTCCTGCTCCTGCTCAGAGAGATGAATGCGACTGTTGCTGCTGACCATAAGAAATTGAAGACTTAGAGTCTGGGATGAGGCTATCAAGGAGCTAGGGTGAGGAGACTGGTGCATCTTGTGTTCGCGTTCTAAACGGTCGCCGGTAGACTGGTGTCAAAAAGCCAAAATTTTTTTTTCTTCCGTACCGTTCTGATCAATCAACTGACACCTAGGTGGTATGTATCAAACTTAAACGTAACGTAAACGTAAACCGGGATAGTATTGCAAGACGCTTTTTCCACCAGCAATGTTCAGAGTTTATTTTGATTTTCTTTTTAAGTCTCCCAATTTAGCGACACTGAATAAACACTGACGAAAATTTCGTTAGACATGAAAGCGTGTTGTTCGTTCCTCATTTGTAAATTTGATAAAGACGATCAGGAATCACATCTTCAACAATACCAAACTGGACTCAGTCGAAAATTTAAATTTCCGATTAACACTTACACCGTGGCGTCCGACATAAAAATCTCTTTAGGGCACTCTTTGATCAACTTCAGCACTTGTACACATAACGAGTACAAACAAGCTTTAACATCTTACCTTTAATTCACTGAAGTCCGTCTGCTGTAAGTTGCGCTTACACCGGATCAGATGAATAAGGTAGCTTAATCAAATGTCTTGCTACGTAAACTTGTATTATCTTACTGGTACCCGCCAGGTTGCTACCATGGTGATAACAACTGCCCGAGGAAAATGTTGCATTAACTCAGTCGCAGATATGTTTTCGTTCACCAAATATAAATTTAAACCATGGATAACACGCCAGTCTTCTTTTGCAGTTCATTGTTATGGCGAGGGCCATTTGTTTTGGCTAGCTTATTTTCAAGTCTACTGAATTTCGCCATTTTTTTTTTTTTAAGTAGGTGGGGATCGTGAAAAAAAAAA